ATTGTTCAAGTCTGTCAAGATCTTTCTGGATTCTGAGCTTGTATTATGGGGTGTTAGCTATTCCTGCCAGTTTAGTGTCATCTGTAAATTTGATGAATTCCCCTTCTATTCACTCATCTAAGTCATTTATTAAGATATTAAAGAGGACTGGGCCTCTTGTGGTACCTCATTGCTTACTTTCTTCCATGTAGATGTAGTACCATTAAGGACTACTAGTTGAATAAAGTTTGTTAGCCAGTTACAAATCCATCTGGTGGTGATGCTGTCTATCCCACCATTTTTCTAGCTTACCAAGAAGTAGGTTGTGGTCTACTTTGTCAAATGCCTTACTGAAATCTAAATATACTATGTCCAGCATTTTGCTGGTCTACTAATTTAGTCACTTTGTCAAAGAATGAAATAAGATTGGTTTGGCATGATTTGCTTTTAACAAACTCATGCTAGTTACTAGTTATAACTTTATTTGTTTCTAGATGTTCACAGATCTATTATTATTTAGACATACTATTTTTTACAGTTTATTAACCTCTTTAGAGGTAATATGCAGAATTTGTACTAAGATTTTTCTGAATGAACTAACTCTTCAGCATCACCCTTCCAAATATTTTTTAGAGTGCTAGTTTGGCTCTTCCTACCATCCCCACAGCTTCATTCACTGAGCAGAAGACTAAGACTACCACTTAACACTGACTCAAATTCAGATATAACTCTCTTTATTTTATCCAAGAAAAGGATACACTGAAATGCTTAAGATATTATAAAATCCCCAGTCAGAATAACTTCTAAAAATAATTATGGTTTTTAGGACTATGTTATATTGGGTAGAATGAAAGCAAATATGGTTTGGAGATTATGATGGTTGAGTGATATAAATCCAGAAAGATTCCCTTTTCCTGATCAAATCCATCACCCAGCAATCTGCCAGTTTTAACCTGCTGTATTTGGCTGACCAGGAATAATACACCACTACTCTTTATTACCTAAGCACTTCCCACTCTCATCAAGAGCCAGATATCAGGGTTTATCAGAGAGATAAGTGTGGTTGGTTTATCAGTGTGATAAAGTGTATGATTTACTGGGAAGCTGAATATGTTGAAGCCATCTGGAATCACTTTTCAGAGTAAGATGGGTACCATATAAATTAATAAGTGGAAAACATAAGAGTTGGATTGGAAGAGTCACTTGTTAAGATCAACAGCTATACAAATCAAATAAATAAAGTGAAGTAAAAATCAAACTGAGCACTGAGTGTTCTTAGGACTCGCATCCAGATGCAACAGTAGCAGATACTTCTCATCTTGTCCAGAATACGTTTTAATCTTCAAATACGGAGAATTGCACATCTCTTAAATCTATCTGATTTCCTGCCTATGACAAAACTTTGTCACTTGAATAACCAATTTACTGATATAAAAAATTGACATCTTGGGCAAGTCAGTGTCACATCTGTGGAACATGCTGAAACCATACATTATCTTTCAGGCCTTACACAGTGAATATTGTTGTAGTTCAGAGTAAATCAGGGAAAGCTAACACGCTTTCAAAGAAGTTATAATATATAGTAATGTCTTGGCTGTACCTTTTGTATTTTCTTAAGCAGGTGTTGGAGATAACGTCTATTTAATATTTTGTATGAATCCAAATACAGAATTCAAACTATAGTACTCTGAACCTTTGCAAATCCAAACTAAGCCAGTAGTAATGTTGTTCTAAGATCATTTATTTATCTGCATATTTTTTCTTAAAATCTTTTAAATTGTTTTATCCTCCCTTTTTCCTTCTACAAAATGTTTATAAAACTTTCAAGTTTCTCTCATAGCAACTTTGGGTTATTTCTTTTCTGATACATTTAAGGTGATAGAATAATTTTTTGATTTAATTATTAAATAGTATCTATAGGCTCTTCCAATCTATAACAAAAAAAAATCTTGTGTTTTTAATATGAATATATGACCTGTGAATTTTGAACACAATTTCAGAATGGAAAAAAAAAAATAAAAGCTATTTAGTAAGGGGTATAGACACATGTTCTTTCATTTTCTTCAATAAACCTTTTGCAGAAGCATTTGTTCATCAGATACTTTATAAGGCCTGATGCCTCCATGCAAGATAGATTTTAAGCAAAAATCTAGAGTGCCCAGGTTATTATAACAACTCTCTGAGAGGTATGATAGCCAAGGAATCTTTTGTTTTATGGATCAGATCCTCGTTGGGAAGTTACATGAAGTAACACATATATTCCGTTACTTATGCTGCAATGGCAGCAGAGGTAAAAATGAGTTAGGAAAAGTATGCAATACACATAATATATGTCAATGAAAAAAAAAATGCAAGAGCAACACTATTTCTGTAATTGACAAACCTGCAGGACAAACAGTTCACAGAGTTCAAAGTTAAACTTAAAATTAAATTAATTATCATTAATTTGATTACAACACATATATTTAATGATTACCTGTCATATTAGAAATTATTTGGTGCGATAATAATTACAATTCTATTTCTGGGCTGTTAGTACTTTAAATGCTTAGTATGTTTATACAGCCCAGGGCCACACCATTTACAGTTATTCATTTTCTATTATTTTAAAATTATAACTATAATTAAGATATGAATCTTGGCACCATATACTTCCTTTTATCATCTTCATTTACTATATTACAGCTTGTTGAATTGCACTCTATAAAACTGGGGGAATGATAGATATAGCATATGAGAATGTATCAGTTGATCCTTCTAAAGGAATTGGGGCACAATCTTTTCCATCTCTCTTGAACCAAATGCAGTTACCTAAAATGTAGTCATTTCATTAAATAAACTGACTCTAAACTGGTGTCTGATAATTTAATCTGTACTAAATTTAATTTATTTATTTTTCACATTTTTTGAACCACCTATCTTCCTCAGACTCTCTGAAATTAGATTCCAGAAGCATTCTTTTTTTGTTACATTTTATTATGCTGGATTTGTTTTAAAAAAGAAAACACTTATTGATATCTTGAAAATGTGTGTTACTAATTAGGGTAGTTTTGCTCTGTATATATGTTCAAAGCATATGTTCTTCTACTGTCTTGAACATAACTATGTCTGAGGGACTTAATGAAGGTCTACCACTTCTACCCTTGATGAGATTTTACTCGCATAATATATACCTATTTAAGATACTCTCCCTCCAAGATAAATATTTATCAAGGCAAAACGGTAGCTACATATTTGAAAATGATCTTTAAATGAACATTTTTATGTGGTCCTGTAACAATATTAGTCAAACTATTTGTGCCGACATGCCTTACACAATTTATCAAGCAAACATTTCTGCCCAAAGGACAGTTTGAACATAAACTAAATCCCACTTGTGTGCTTCCTATTACTTTTAGAAATAAATGCTGTAAATTCCTATAAGCCGGTATAGTCAGGTACAGCACACAGGAGTATTACTATCTTAAATCTGGAATTTCACAAACAAAAAAGTAACAATTTCAGATATAAAAGGCAGCAAAAAAAAAAGCAAAATGAATATATATTGCATTAAGCCATGGTTTAATCATAATTTGTAGACTAGGTAACTATCTGTGCTTGCCTAATTTATTAAACTATAAATACTGGTTTATGTTTCATAAGGTGCATGATTTAGTGGTTAACATAACATGCTAATTCAGAACTAAATAAATTATCACCTAGCTGGATGTCTGAACCCAATCAATAAGAACAGATGTTCAAATTTCCTTAGGACCTCTGTGAGGGAGCCCCAGTTTAGATATCTGAAGATCAACTGCAGTTACTCAGTTATGGTGGTACATATTGATAAGCTTTACATTTCTTTTCAACAGGTGTGGCCAACCTGTGTCTCACCAAATGTTCTTGAACTCTTGGATTACCTGGCTAAGACACACACACACAGAGTGAAAAATAGGATATTATTATAAGCAAGTAAAAAACAAAGACAATCATGTCCAACCTATGGACTTTCTTTCTATATGAATTTTAGTGAGGGGGATTTTTTAATTTATCTTTAGAATTCATTTAATATTTTTGTTTAAGCACATTTTCAATAATACATTGTCGATTTCAGAAAAGGCAGGCACAGCCACACACCTCTGTGTATTAATAATTCTCCTGTGGAGATAGTTAGCAGCATCACGTTTCTGGGTGTGCAGCTAAAGGGTAGACTAGCTTGTCACTCAACAGTGAGAAATTGGTAGAGTGGGGACAGCAGCACCTGCATTTTCTGCATCACATGAGAAAAGCACATCTTCCTTCCCCTGTCCTTATCACTTTCTACAGAGGGACGATTGAGAACATCCTGTCATATTGCATGTCTGGTTTGGAAGCATCACTGCTCCAGACATGAAGGCGATGCAGAGAGTGGTGAGGATGGCAGAAAAGATTATTGGTAGTTCTCTCCATTCTATCCAGGACATAGCATATAAGCGATGCTTGAGCAGGGTCCGCAGGATTGTTGGGACATTACACATCCTCTTTATAACCTTTTTTCCTTGTTACCTTCTGGAGGAGGCTTTGTGGTATCTGAAGCAAAACATTCAGATTCAGACAAAGTTTTGTTCCATATAGCATCAACCTTATGAACTCTCAAGTTTCCTTTCCGCTATGTATTCAAAATGGACAATAGTTAATATTTGTATGTATATATATATGTGCATGTCTATATGTATATGTATGTTATGTACAGTATGTGTATGGGTATATATAGACTGTCTTTTGAGAGCAGGCAACAGAATTTCATTTTTACAGTGTGCTCACAGTAAAAAATGACAATAAAGGTATCTCAGTCTTGGCATAATATATGCTATTAGGAAGGCTGCCACACACTTCATCTTATTTTTCTATTTTTCTAGCATTTATTAGGTTTATTCAGCTTAGATATCTTAGAAATAATGCTAAATAAGCACATAGACAAAGCATTGAAAAATGGGGAAAATGCTTTAATTCTTGGTATTAATTTTCTTATAACAAAACCCCCATAAAACAAACACAAAATTAGATCATATAATTAGCACTCAGCTTCTCAGCATTGACATTTGTAGAATTACATTATGCAAACAAATTCCACTTGTGTTATTTGCAAGATTGAATTATCTTTTGATAGAGAAATAATATTAAAGTATGATAGTGATACAAGCTTTTAAGATTAATAAAAAGCATTTCACTTCAGATTTATGGAGAAGGCTAATAAAAAGCATTGTCCAAAATAAAACTGGCAAAATTACAGTAAATCTCAATTCAACTCAGAAATGAGTCAATCAATTCTATATGAATTAGTGATGAGAAAGAAGAATCTCAGTATGTTTTAAATATATAAATAAGTCATTGTTACAATTACCATGTGGCAAATTCATTTTTAATCACATTAACTATTATATCACACTCAAAGAATATGTGATATGCTTAATCCAATTTGGCCCTCCTGAATAGATTATACGTGAACTTCACTCCCACACTCCCAACTAGTGTGATTGTTGCTGAGAATTCTGGGAGTTGAAGTCACTTGTGCTGGAGCTGCCCAGGTTGATGAAGCAGATCATCTCCAAAGATAATTTGCTGCTTCCTTGAAGGTCCTAACTACTAAAGCCCTGTATTTGATCATTATATATCATCTGGGGGTCTTTTATGTCTTACTTTAACTCATCAGGAAGCTAGCTTATTGTTGCTCTTGCTACAAACTCCCTGTGTGCCACATTATACTGAAACTCAATCTAGCTTGAAGTTATTTTTCATTCAGGAAAGTCCTTAGCATGGTAAATGAAAATGGTAATGTCAATATTGAGACTGATGTAAATGATAGGGTTTGAATAAATGAAATGTAGATCACTTTAGTGGATCCAACTACATATGAAATTAGACAACTTGAAAACAAACTACAATGAAAACTGGTACATATTTATTAAGGCAACAGACTTTGAAATCCCAAAAGACAAGAACATAAACAGTAGGAGTCAGTTAAAATCTTATTGCTTTTCAAGAAGCAGTGAACATTCTGCCATATCTAACAAGTGTTTAAATGGTAACAACGGAATACATGTTTTAACATTTCCTATCCTTCCATGAAGTAAACGGCAAAATTCCCCAGCTTCTTGCTCCTAGAAAGAAATAAAAGAAATGGATTGATGGGTAGAGCTGCAATGATAAAAGATGGACAAGATTAATCTTGAACAACTGATTAAGCACTACCGCAGTTCCAGTGTTTTAATGCAGTGTGTTCACCCTATCTGTACAACTCAGGTTTTGCATTGTCAAAAAAGGTTTATATCCAAATATTTATGTGCAAAACATAAATCCATTATTCAATGGATAATTATGATACTAAAGTATGAAACTGTTGCAAAATCCCACCAAAATAAATGCAAAATACTTCTGTATGCAGTGCCTTATCTTATCTATGATTTTCCCCTGTGATAGAATTCATGCTAGATATAAATGAGTGGGAAGGCAATGGAAACAAACCACACAGCCACCTTATCTGATTGACAAATTAGGCTACCTACGGAGCCACCAATGGAGTTTTGAAAGGAGTAGAGAGGCCTGAGATATATGAAGGGAAGAACATAAAGAAGCTGGAACACTGAAAAAGGAGATGAGGACAGCAGGCACATTTACTTAGAGAAATGAGGCCCTTGGAAAGTATTTAGATAAGTGTGAATGGAATTGATATACATTTAAGCTATGGGCCATATACACTCACATTACATGAGGAAGGGAGGAGTTATAATTACATTTGTCCAGCAATGTTGATGTGTATATTATCTTTAAACAAAACTAAGTGTTATACAAGCCAAACAATCGTAAGATCTACATTATCCATGACTCTTTTTAAATATATTTTTCATGCACATGACTGGATCTTCTCTGATTATTGGACAAATCAAACTAGAGACAGCTTTACAGTGTAAAGTAAAATTTCTATATTAATAGGCTGTATTGCTTTTTCCTGAACAGGTTCAAAACAAAAAGATGTTAAGCTTTTACATTTGCCCGACAATCCTTTCTCTTGGCAAAAGATTTTAAATTTGTTTGCCTCTCTTTTTCCATGGGAACTGTTTGGTAAGGGCAGACATTAAAGCTGACAAAGCTTTGTCTGTGTTTTCCCCCTTTGCTTGGTTTCTGTGTCTGTGTGTGCAGGCATGCATTCATTAACGTAATTCTTCAACCTTCAACAACAATGCATCATAAATGAGGGGGAAGGGACGACCTCATAAATATTTAGATTCTCCTGTCTACCTTCCAAAGCAAAGGTGGGGGGCAGAGTATTTGGTAAGGACCTAATCAGAGTTAATCTGCATGTGAACCAAAAGAAGATTCAAAAGGATGAAAAGATGCTGGAAACTAGTATGCAAACCCACTGTCTCTAGAGGGTTATTCATCTTATTCTTGTCAGCCCAAGTCCCAGTCTCACTGCCTAGTTGGATTCCGCACATGACCAACAGCTTTGCAAAGAGAAGGTGGCAAGAGAAATATGTATTTTGTTCCTCCATGTGAAGTACCCTTTCCTAACCTAGCATCCTTCAGTCCAGATGAATTGAAATCAGGATGCACTGATTTGTCAACCAGAACAGCTATCTATGATAGAGGATCTAGGTTGTTTGTTTAAGGGTTACAATTTGAATGCAGGCAGCAATTATACTTCTTTTCTAACCTTTGCTAGTAATGTTACTCTTCCCCCCCAAAATCAAAATTCATAAGTGTTAAGATCCACAACACTTAGAATGTTCTGAGTACAATTTACAGAAATCTATCACTTTACATGAGAATGGAAAGAAAATGAATTATGTTCTCAAGGTACATTAATAAAAGTGCGATGAAAATTTGCCCTTGATAGAAATTAGTATTTTATATAATATATACAGAACAATGACTTAATAAGCAAATATTGTCTGGAAAATGAAAACTTTCTGGAAATGAAGTCAATTAAGTTATGCTTGAAGAATATTTTTGCTGCAACACTATCAACAATGTTAAATAGATGTTTTATCAAGAGAATTGATGGAAAATTGTTTAGTCAGGAAACCCTGTTTTTATCTTTTCAAACAACTGGATTAGTTTCCAGATTTTTCCATACCAGCAGACATATTGGTACAAGAATTTCTGAGGGGAAGCAAAGTGTTTTGTTCTCTGCTGCCCTCAATTCCATCTTCTAGACTGTCTTTCTGGCTGTTGGAACATTTCTGGAAAACTTAAAGAGACCATAAAAATAAACAAATAATTGCTGACCATCACTTCCTTTTTACACTTCAACCTTGGTCTCAGAGATAATTGTGCATTGCACTAGAATCCTTCCGCAGAAAGAAAGGGGGAAAAAAAATCAATGTATAAGTGGAAGACTCTAGATTAAAGACGTAGTTTTAGTTTTTGTCTTTTTAAATACCTGCTTCTAATGGGGGGCAAAAGGTTACCCCTGCACTTTGTGTGTGTGACTGAAACAAAAATAGAACCTCAGTGCTTATGATATTGTTTGTTTCCAATGGATGGCATACAGTTTTTAAACAAAACTTTAAAAAAAAGTTTAGTTATGCTTAAAAAAGAGCTTGTTTTTGTTCAAGCCACAGTCCTTCAAAGATAAGCCTTTGAAGATTAACTTTGTTTCAACATAGCTATACGGTAGTTATCATAATTTTTTGAATCTTTGGGAAATACATTTATCCAACAGATTCCACAGCTTTTCCCAGGAGAATCAATATACGTGTAGAAAACAGACATAAGAGTGTTCATTACTGAATTCTGAGTATACTTTATAACAGTGGTTCTCAACCTTTTTAATGCCACGACCCCCAACTGGTCGTAAGTCGAGGACTACTCAACCGGTTGTAAATCGAGGACTACTCAACTGGTGCAGCACTGTTTGCAGAATGGGACTTTTGGCAGGCTCAGCAGGGCAGAGACAGCCTGGACAATTCCTATTGGCTTTCAAAAGCCAATAGAATAAAAGGGAGTAGCACAGCTAAGGAAAAGGGGAAAAAAAGGGCGGACTGCGTTGTTTGGCGACCCCCGTGAAATGGTCGTTCGACCCCAAATGGGGTCCCGACCTACGGGTTGAGAACCACTGCTTTATAACATGGTTTGGAAAAATCTTGTCTAAAAGGCTGCATTTTAATTTTCATTCACGGAAATGAATATTTTAAAAAATCCAAAGGAGGGATCGATGGTCTTTTAGATTGCAATAATCTATACTGGTTCCTGGTAGTTTACATGAATAACAATATAAAGGGTATAAAATATAGAAATAAAATTCAGTCTATAAAATGTGCAATAACACGTGTAAAAGAGCAGCATGATGATGTTATTCGATCTCCAAATGCCCTGAGGAACAATTCAATTTTCAACAATTTGTTAGAGTGTAGTACTGCAGGCCACTTTAGCTGACTGTGTTCAGCAGGTCAGCGGTTCAAATCTCACCAGCTCAAGGTTGACTCAGCCTTCCATCCTTCCGGGGTAGGTAAAATGAGGACCCAGATTGTTGGGGGCAATGTAAATATATATATACATTGCTTACTGGTGTACACCACTTAGAGAGTGCTTGCACTTAAAGCGGTATATAAGTCTAATAAATAAATAAATAAATAAAAGCAGTAAGGAGACCACTAACTGGACTTTGAAAGGGAGGCTATTCTAAAGTATGTGTTCCATGACTTTTTCAGGGTCTGACATGCCACTTTTACATTAAGCAAACAGTCCTATAAGTAACTTAGCATCAAGCTCTTCAAATTAAAACCAGCATTTTGAATTATACTTGGCAACCTATTACTAACTAATACAATCACCACTTTATAGGTCATTTAGGATTGTGACAATTCTGAGTCACCATACCAGCCTCTGCATTTTGGACCAATTGCAGTTTCCAAATGGTTTTCAAAAGCAACTGAATGTAGACATATAGATCAAATGGCTATTAAGTGCATGAATCAATATTGATAAGACTTCCGGCTCAAGGTAGAGGCACCTGTGGCATAGCAGCTAAAATAGGCCAAAGTCCCACCTGGCCTTCAACCTCTCTCGTAGTAGCTATGCGTTCATGAGATTCCCCCAAATTGTGAACTGCTTTTTCAAAAATACTACTGTATTCAGACTTATCAGAACGGATCGAAATACATTCTAGACAATAAATATCTGTGTCTAGTTTTAAGTCTATATTTCAGCAGCTTGTAGACTCTAATCCCAAGACTTTAACAACATCTCCAGCTTAGTCTGCAATGGATATGTAAAGTTGTTTGTTGTCATTATTGTATTATCACACCTCAAACTGGCACATACCCTGGGCAATTTCATTATACATTAGGGGAGAGAGACATGAACCTTGGGAACCTTATATTTGAGCACTGGCTGACTTCTCCTATTTTTTTATTTGACTTGTTTTTCTTATGTGGAATATTTATTTTATTTGACCTACATGGGCTCCCATTTCCATAACCTGAGCAGGTCACAGAACATCAAGAAAAACATAATAACCACAAGAAAAACTCCAAGTGCTTCAAAAGCAACTTCTCCACTTGCAAATGTATTGAGCTTCAACTTCACTACCTAATGCTTGCAAGAATGGTTATCTCTTCAAGGTCTTCTGGAAGGTTAGAAGGATGGTAGCCTGCCAGAGCTTTAGAGGGAAGGCTGTTCCATAGAGCAACAGCTATCACATAGAAGACATGTTTCCTAGGTGAGATGTGTGCATTTAAGAGAAGGGAGCTGGAGTCTATCCACCTTATCAGACCTGGTGGAAAGTACAGATACCCCACAGGAAATTAAGTCCTGCAAAAAACTTGGTTCTATGCCATTCCAGACCTCAAAAGTGATAATCAGCACCTTGAATTGTACCTGGAAAGAGATTGGAAGCCAAATCATCTCACAGTAGCCAACTTCTATAATAGAGTTTCTAATGCTCTGTACAATCCCAGTATTAGAATGGTCTTACACTCTGACAAGTGCCTTGAAGAAATGATAACTATTGTGCTAGGTTTATTTTCTCAACACAACTAAGGGATAAAAGAGTTAAAAGTTTTCTTAATTTAGGATGAACAGGGATTTTTTTCATGAGATTTTAATTCATTCAGTTTACAAGCCCTAACAAAAATCCAATCTTTGAATGAAGGCATGATAGCAGATCTATCTTGATATGTTATGGTACATTAAAAGTATTTTTAAAAATTATCACAAGAATTTTGAACAAAAGATCACAGAGATGAAAGGCAATGGAAGTCTTACTAAGTTTTCTTCAACATATACTTGCTAAAGGAGTTTTTCACCACTTAGTACTAACCAATATTGAAACAGGCTAAACATTAATGCTAAGACTTTAATAAATCTTATATTCATGAAATATGTTTCCTTATACAATCTTCTATGGCCAATTTTGTGTAGTAGTTAAAGGATCAGACTAGAAACCAGAAGACCATGAGTTCTAGTCAGAGTGGATAATAATCAATGTTTTTTTAAATAAATAAATAAACAAACAGACTTTTTTATTTTTATTAAATTTATTTTAATAAAATGCTTTTGGAGTAAAAATCTATCTAAAGAGAGTTTTATATTTAAGATACATTAATAATTTAGTTTATTCAGCATGAAATGGAGCTTAGTTATGTAGCATGAGGCTGTATATTCTGCAATATTTACATTTTTGGTAAACTCATTCAATGAATCCAAGCTAGCAGGGGAGGGGAGTGAAAGAAAAGGTCGCCGTCCACCCTCCACCTGCCTTGCCTTGTTGTGGTGGCAGCGGTGTGACATGCACTCTCCTGCCCCTTTGCGGCAGCGAGATGGGATGGAGTGGTCAGGGCTTATTTTTGGAGTAGGGCTTATATTAGGCCCACCCCAAAAAATCAGGGTAGGTCTTATTTTCAAGGTAGGTCTAATTTTGGGGGAAACATGTTATATGTGATTAATCTATTAACCTAAAATCAGTTCTGATATCGCTGTTTTACTAAGCTGACAGCTTATTATTCTAAATAGGAAACCTTCATTTTGTTTGCAAATAATAGTATTAAAGATTCTAACTACCAGCAAGAATGAGTCATTACATTTAAAGAACACCTGTCATTTCAGGTCCATCATGGCAGCGCCCGTTAGCGGGCATCCGCTCACCTGCTGCCCGCCACGTCCCTCACCTTGTTGTGTTACTGCCACATCACCAGCCATCCCATTAAAGTAAATGGGACTGTCTGTGAGTCAACAGCGGGTCAGAGGAGCCGCTGCGAGACAGAGATGATAGTTGCTCTTTAAAAATTATGAGTTGAATCGAGTTGATTTAAATCAAGCCTTTTTGCTAGTGATTTAAATCACGATTTAAATCAACCTGATTTAAATCAAATCCATCCCAGTTCTAATCCTGTCTTAAGCATGAAGCCAGCTGAGTAACCTGGGCCAATCACTCTCTTTCAGCCCTAGGAAGGAGGCAATGGCAATCCACTTCTGAAAAACTTGTCCAGAAAATTGCAGAAACTTCTCTGGAAGGAATCAAAAACTGATTCAAATAAAGCACCCAAACAAATACAAAACAACACTATACATTCTATTAAATTTTGTAGCTGATGTATGAAAGATAAAGAAAAATAAACGTTACAGTAAGTTTTATTTCAATATTCCTTTATGGGTTTTTTTAAAGAAACATTCCTCATTAAAGTGCTGGATATTCTGTAGCCTTGAAAAGTTCAAGAAATATTGTTCCAGAGCAAGAATACTCAAAGTGTGGTGTGATGACTCCTGGGGTCCCTAAGACCATTTCAGGGGGTGTGCAGAGTCAAATAAATATTGATCCATGAATAAATATTTGAAATATACCTAAGAGAAAGTAGATAACACAGTACATGAAATAGCCCTCATCTACTAGCATAGTCTACCACTATTACCATGTCAGCTACCTTGGGATGTTTTTAAAAAGATGATTGCACACTAGAGCAATATTTATTTATTTATTTTAGATTAAGAAAAGGAAGGAAGCTAAGAGAACAAAGCCGCAAATTTGGTCACATCCAGGGATATGTGATCATCAAATTTGGTGCAACAGTCACATGAGGAACCGTGTCTCCCTTTTGTTGCTATTTCAATGGGAAGCAGACTAATCCCATGGCAATCTGGGCAGTTGCCTAGTAAGAATATTAAACAATACTCTTGAAAGCATCGGAATCCTCTTGAAAAGAAAATGAGAACAGCATGGTCTGTACACATATGTAAGAAATAAATCTACATGACAGAAAGTAAAAGAATATGCCTATAGTTCTAATAAAAAGCAACAAATAAGTAAAAGTTCCTGCTTCCTAAGTCATGTTTATTAATCATATTAATCAAATCAGTTGAAGTCTGAAATACTACTCTGAAGACATTTTTCTGCTTGACATTTCAGGTCTGCAAAAGGCCAGTGAAGTGATGCCAAAGCAGATGGGGTGAGATCAGCCCATTCACTGTTAGTTCTTATCTTTAAATCATCAGGCAATAATACCCCATAATACTTACTAAGAAGTGCACTAAAGTCAATGGAAGGACTAAGCAAACAGGTCTAGGATTGGACTGTAATATACCTAGTTTTGATTTGATTGTAGCAAGCAGTGGCAACACATTTAATAAATCATGCTAAAATGGGGTTGCTTTATATGTTCTTCTTTTAATATACATATTGAGTACAGATATTCTCCAAAAGGAGAAAAGGATCTGTTAATTTAACCAAATTCCTTTTCTTCCGCTCCTTAAAAAAACCTATATAATCTGTATTGACAGAAATTACTTTTTTTTTCAAAGTTTTTGAACAAATGTTTAAATTAACAATAACACTGAACAACATTAGTACACACATTAGTTCTTGGGAAAGAATGACAGCATTCTGAATCAGAGTCAAAACAATTACATGATTTCTAATGGAATGTAAAAATAAACCTAAACCACTGGCATTGCTCCATGTGGTCAATTTTATCAATATCCTTGTTAAAATACAGAAAAGCATACAAAGGAATTCATTGGTATTTGTTACTGTGTTTTTATGCATCAGGTTTCAGTGAAACACACTGTCAATAGAACTACTGATTAAGCTTCCATGGGGAATAAAACCAGTTGTTAAACAAAGTGAGCCATTCTTCCAAATAAATGAGTGGCAGGTGCTTGGCATGCCACTTTGAAATCAATCACATTTTCTGAAATATGGGTCTAGCACTAGGCTACATGGATAATAAAACCTAACTATATTCTCTTCTGTATTTTTTCTTAAGTCCCTTCCCTTCCTTTTTTATTCAGTTTTGTAGAAATAAAATTCAGCATGCAGGCAGCTGTAAACCACACACTACTTCTAACGAGAAACATGGATGAAAGTTAAGAATGCAGCGATAAAAAGTCTTTACAGGGGGCGCATAAGAAGTGCAAATGTGGGTACTGCTGGGCAGGGGAGAGGAAAAAAAAACTCTGGTTACTTAGTTGACCGATGGCGTGAAAGTATTTAACAAAGGTAAAAAAGGAAAAGGAAAAAAAAAAAGAGCGGAGGCACGTCTTCTTTGTAGACTACCTCGAAATCGGGGAAAATAAGGTGCAAATTCGATAGGAGGTCGGTTTGGTGGCCCTCCAAAAAGAAAGAATTCATTCAAGCCGCTAGTCTGGGCGGGAAGTTGGTTTCTAAAGATACTCGCGAGCACAGGAAGCCTTAGGCTTTGATGGGGACTTCCAGGCGGCTGGAAAGCTCCAGCCCGGCAGCGGTTTCTCGGCAGAACTGCTCATTCATCTCAGTGGGATTTACTAGAGACTAGGGCAGCTGGGATGCTAGGCTAAGCTCCCTCGTCTGAAGAAGGGAGAAGGGAACGGCCGCGGCGGCTTTTGCGTGGAACCGGCTACTCGGCTTCTTCCCGGCTAGTCAAGAAACCTCAAATCCGAATCAGCTGTTGGGGATTTTTTGTTTGTTTTTTTTGTTAATACCAAAGAGAGTTTTCCCGCCTTTCTGCTCCAGCGGTGAAGCTTTGCCAGCTACTTAGAGCGTTGGAAGACCGCGTCAACCCTCGGTAGAACTTCTTGCACGAAAATGAGTTTAGGTCAAGAGACGAGCCAGCAGAGGTAGACAGCTTTTCACTGAGACCTCCCCCACCCCCAAAGGGAACCCACGCAGGCCGCCGTGCCCAAGGCCTCTGGCGTGCAGAGGAAGGGAGGGGGCTGCCAAACAGGCGAAAAGGAAAGCGAGCCGACGCTGCCCAACTTCCCAGCCAGTCTCTCAAGAAGTGCAACGGGCTGTGTCTGCATCGCCAGAGGTCCGGACCACCATCCAATGTAAAAGCATTGACTTCCCACCGTATGCGCTCGGACGGGTGGGGGGGTACCTCGCGTGCGGTCGGAAGACACCTCCTAAATGAACGGGTGAGCTAAACTTTGCACGGGGAAGCGCTTCGGCTTCTCCGCTCCCAGTTCTGTTCGCCGCGGAGAAGCCGCCTTGCTTAATAGCCGCGCTTTCCCTTGCCTTCGCAGCCGCTACTCGAGACAGACGAACATCACCCCTTCTTGGTGCACCCCCGATCCCTTCGTCTGTCTTCTTCCCTCTCCCTCTTGCGCAAGCGCACAATACTCATTTCAACCCCGCCTCTCCCGTTTCAATCCTAAACCTCAATAAAGGGCGCTACACAATTGAAAGCGCGCGCGGGCGCGCACCCTCGTGCGAATCGCGGGTGGCAGAAAACGCAGCGCGCTTGCGCCTCAGAGGCAGCGCAACCAGATCAGGGCTCTTCCCCCCTCCCACTAGCACCACGTGACCGAGCCCCGCCCCAACACCGGATCTGTGAAGTAGCCAGAGTTTGTTCAGTTTCTTTCCCGTGCGGTCGCGTACGGGATTTCTGTACAAAACAACAACAACAAAAAAATCGGTAGGGCGGCAAGCGGGGAGGGGAAAGGAGGGATCACGCGCACGCGCGCAACCACCTCGCGCGTAAAAGTAGTACGAGGCAGCGGCGCGAGCTCTCGGAGGCGCGCTCCGTCACTCCAAAGCCCAGGCAGATCACACGGGTGTGGGTGTGAGGGGCGCGCTCCCTTCCGCTCACCGCCGGCTGTCAACCGAGTCCCCAGTCGCTCACAGGCAAGCTGGAGGGGCGGAGCGGAGTGGATCTGCCAAGTGGCGCCTCTGCCGCCGCCGCTACCGTTGCCGTCGCTGATTAACGGCCGCCCCGCCTCTGCTCCTCCGCTGCCCCCTCCCTGCCCCTCTGTTCCCTCCCCTTCCCGCCGTCGTTGCTTGCTGCCGCCGCTGCCAGCGCCGCCTGAACTGAAGCGAACTCCAGAGCGAACTGAAGAGGAGGAGGCAGGAGGAGGTGAAGGCACCACAGCGGCGGCAGCGGCGGGGCTGAGAGTCGTCAGCCTCAAGCAAACGGCAGAAGCGGGAGGGGAAGGAGGCAAGGCGGCGCGGGAGACGAGGCGGAACTGCCAGCAGCAGCGGTAGGAATAACAACAACGGAAGCACCGCCGGTGGCCGGGAACAGCCTTACAATACGCGGCGGCGGCGGCAGCACCCGCGAGGACTCCTCGGGAAACGGCCAAGTCCGCCGCCCCTTTGCCTGCCTCCCAGCCGCGGAGACAGACCAGGGGGCAGCAGCGCCGACAAAAGAGCCGCGACCAACGTCTGCGTGTGCGGCGAGGGAGAGGAGGGGGAACTACCGAAGACTGCGCTGCTTTGGAGAAAGGCATCCAGTGGGAGCGGCGACAGGAAGCGGCGGTGGTGGAGGAGGATCACTGTACAGTCGGGGTGGAAGACGACTAGGGCGCAACCCTCCGTGGTGGCGGCGGCCGAGGAGGGTTTGGGGTGGCGGTTCCCCCCTTTTATTTTCCTCCATCGCCTGAGACCCGCCGCGGCGTGGTTGTGGCTTCTTCGTTGACGAGACCCCCTTTTTTCCGCTCTCCTGTTTTCCTAGGGGGGGAAGAGGCCTCTCCCCCCCTCAGCCCACATAACACACCCCGTTTCTTCCCCGTCTGGCGTGCACCCAGTGCGGTGGTTGGGTGAGTGCTGGTGCGGGCGCTCGCTCGCTCTCTATTTGGAATATGGTTGGGGAAATGGAAACGAAGGAGAAGCCCAAGCCGAGCCCCGATTACCTGATGCAGTTGATGAACGACAAGAAGCTCATGAGCAGCCTCCCTAACTTCTGCGGGATATTCAACCATCTCGAGAGGCTGCTGGACGAAGGTAAAACGCAATTACAAGAACTCAAACGAAAACCCCAGAACTAACTCTTTTTTGCAGGTCTGAGGGTAAGGGGGATAGTGGTGCCCGTGCCCCGACACTTTGGGCCTCTCCGCGACATAGATCCGCTTTGCCCTTCCCATTCCTATCCTTCAAATGGGGGCGGACGAGGCTTTGGGCCCCCTCAATGGCGTCTTTTGGCTTCGCCTCTTGCCCATAAACAAAGAGAAGCGGGAAGTCTACACGCAGAAGTTTTGGCCTTTAGGGAACTATAAACTCTCTACGTGATCTTAATTTCTGTGTAGATACTTTTTAATCGGCAAACTTAGTATATAAAATTATATTTTGTATAAGAAAAAAGTTGGGAGAGGAGAAAGTTTTTTTAATAGGATTATAGCATTTTCAGTTCTTAAATCTTCATTGAAAGTATGAAAGGCACAGTAGGCCCGATGGTATGTTTATGAAATACTTTTAAGCAACTTAGTCTTTCAGCCTAAACTGTACATGGCTGATTTTTATTTTGAGTTTGCGCGGAGGGACGTGAAAAAAAACGGGAGAAACTTGAGGGGCTCAGTTCTTTTATTCAATATTGGGCTGGTTGTCGGCCTAAAAAGACACAAAAGTATTATGTCTGCGAATAAATATTACGAACTTTATTAGCTTCTACCGTGAAAGACATACTGGGTGATTCTCCATTTGACTATCAAAAGTCAACGCGAAAAGTGTTTTTGGAGTCTCTGAATAACCGTTGGTAGTTTTAGGCCGTGTGTCTGTAGTTGAATTCCAAGAGAAGGTGCAAGGTTGGGGCAAGTAAGTAAGTTTGCAGACCGAAGTTAGTGCAGATTTAGGTTTCCGCAAAATAAGTAATTTCAAATGTTGTAAATTTTAAACAAATTATTTGGTTTGAGAATTCAGTTAGAAATGTCATAAAATATACCTTAAATATAAAAGTTTTGAACGTATACTGTATGTTCAGAATAAAATTCAGTCAAAATTCTAAAACATCTTGAAACTTTCATATTTTAAGAAGATAGGTGAAACTTGGTTTCCTCATCATTTGTGAATTAGACAGAATTAGTGCTTTTCAGGTTCCCTTTGAGATGGTTTAATCTTTATTGTTGGAGAAGCATATTCATAGCTGTAACTGAAATGTGACATATTTGGGTTCCTTTGAAGGATATTGTTCAAATAGCAGTTGATTAGGGTTTGCATTTGGCTAATTTTAGTTTAGATGAAAATTAATAACATACCCTGGATATCAAGTAAAAAAGTTTCTGAGTATAAAAATGGGAATAGTTTAGTATAAATTCCTTTTTAAAAATAACTATCACAACACTAACAATGACTAAAAATTTCTGGAATCATCATAGGAGAATAGAACCCTAAAGATTCTGTAAGAAGAGCACATGAGAATATTTTTGGTGTGACTATTTCAAGAATGTATTAAGTCACTGAATCTTTTGAATGCTCTTGAAGCATTGAAGGCTTTGAATTGTCAGTTTTTTCATAAGTCCAAAATAAGAACTGGAAAATCTAATAATTCAAAAGTCAAACTGATTGTCCCAATATTATATACATTTTTTCCTATACTACTGTTCTTTTCTTTTAGTAGCCCTTTAAATCCTGTTTTCCTCTGTTTGCATTGGCTTCTGGGTGGAAGAACTGCAAATGTTGAAAACTTTCTGGAATGTTAAAAAAAAATGTCCTATGCAAATAAGTGAATGATTTAAATGTTTTAAGAGGTGAACGCTAAGGGGCGCCAGTTCTTTCTGGAAAAAAGATTAAGATACGGTTTTAAACATTAATATCAAAATCAGTGTACTTGTGTTGTATTTAAGACATAAGAAATTAAGTTTAAAACACAAGCATATTCACATACTTTGATTTTTTGTTGCTTGGGTTATGATATTTCTTTCACATAAAATACTGCAAAAAGTTTATACAATTGGAAGATGTTAGGAAAATACATATTCTGTTATCCAATAGTGCAAATAACTTGTTTTACAGGAATAACAGTTTTGCTTAGATCTTTAATGGTGGAGGTTTTTTTTTTTTTTGAAGATTAATTTTTTTTAAAAGCTAAAAGCCCTAGTAATATAATGCTTCTGTGAACAAGCAGGGAGAAAGTAAATACAAAATTTACCTATTCTATACTTTTCACTTAATACTATTTATTTACAGCATTTAGAGTAAATTATCAATATTTAGTTAACTTATTTCAAGTTTAAAATGAAAAAAACATAACATTTTAATGAAATCCTCTTATAGTTATTGAAAAAATTGGATATTTTTCATATTTCCAAATCCTTGTATATGAATGGATGTACTTTTGAAGGAGTATAAACATTTTCTGTTATGCACCTTTTTATATTCAAAAGTAAAGAAAGGGAAAATAATGCTTTCATTGTTTAACATACTCTCCTGCTATTTCTATAAATGGATAAATATATCTAATAGGAAAGATTTTTAAAAATGGAGCATTTTCTATTGGTTTACAGTAGCCTATAGAAAGAAGAGGAGGAGTTTTTCTGAGTTTGAAGATATAATTCCATCAGTTGTATCTTAAAATTATTAAAAGCATATTTTAAAGCTAAAACCTTTTCATTTTTGAAAAGAGAAATCTTTTGGTTTCTTTTTTCTTGTGTTCTTCTGTAATAAGTACCTGTAAACTGAATATTAAGTTCTAGTCAATGATCCAAATCTTTCTTGGCAACTGACAGAAGAAAGCTTCATGTGTATGATATTTTTACATAATTTTTTTAAAAAAACCCACTTTATCTTAGTTGGTTTTCCGAGTTATTTTTTTCAGAAAAACCTTTAGCAAAAAACTGCTAAATTTACAAATTTCTCTCCATCCTTGAAGTGTGTGTAATGAATGTTTATTTTTCATAAATTGTAATTTAAATGTGTCCTCTTGACCTGTAATATTTGTTTAGCTTAATCTTTATTACTACACTCACTTACACTGATAACTAATGATAAATAAAGTGTAATAAAAAACCCTTCCCATCTAAGAAATAGGAGTTTTTATTCTATGGCTGTTGTGTGTATTCTTAGCTAACATTTCACATTATAAATTATTTAAAATTAGTCTGAAAAAATGTACTCATGTTTTTTTATTGTGAATGAGTCATAATTAAATGACATAATATGCAAAAGAAAAAGTGTTACTACCTTGAGTATGATCTGATATATACATTTGACAAGGACTAAGCAATCAAAATAACATGTTGCGGCAAATAATTTTTCAGTTTGGTCCAACGGCCCAATTTGCAAACCAAGAATATTGGTATCACATTATTACAGATGTACTGCATGTATGAATTCATGCAGTCTTATTTTCAGCCTATTTCTATTAAACTGGAATTAATTCAGTTTTAAATGAAATATTGATAGAGGCTCAAGTTTCCAAAATGTTCTAGATTTCTCAGCACTTTTATAGTATGTGAATTCTACAATGTAAATGAGTAGTAGCTAAAGGCAGCCATTTTTAATAATTCCTGAAAGAGCTAATATTAAATTAGGTAATATGTTACTGATTTTGAGATTGTTTAATTAGAATTTTTAATTTTATAATTATCATAAAACAACTAGGTAAGTCAATAAGTAACAACTAGAAATTCCAGTGAAAATATATTTAAGAACAGCATACAAGGGTTAACATTTATTATGTTTCATTCTATTACTGAAACTTTCCTCATTGCTAATATTATTACATTGTATGCTAATAGTATTTTAAGTATGATCTAATATATTGTCAGTGAAAAGAAATTTACAAGATTTCCTTAGCAATTTTTTTCTTGAAATTGTCTCCTATTATATGTTTATATTTTTTATTATTTAATATATTTATATTTGTATATTGGTTCAATTTACTGCATAAGAGAATTTGCCAGCTATATACAAGCATTCTGGAAATAAGTATTTTATTCCATTTAAGGCATTTATTTTACTTTTCAATACTACATTCAAGAAACAATCCTACTGATTTCCCTAGTGACATCATTTCTTTAGTAAAATTGTTAAATGAGAGAAACTATGTCTCAGTTAAAGCAATTACATTTGTGAAGAGTTCTATAGAAACATAACTGTATTACATGTAACATACAATAAGTAAGATTTCATTTGAAAGTTGCAGTGCCCAATTAAATATGTTTCTGTACAGATTTTATGTTTAGTTTAAAATTTATGACCACTCAATATGTATTTATAAAATACAGAATTATTAGAAAATCCATATAGGTAATTGATGTGCAGGGATATGATTTTTTTTCTTGATGTATACTAGTAAATTTTATTTATTTGGATGTAGTACCTAGATATGACCTGTACAACAGCAAAATATTTCCAGGGTTGGTTTAATAATAGTGGAAGGTTTTGGTAGTCTCTATTCATTATAATGTTGTATATGATAACTTGGGTTTACAGAGGCTTCAGGGATATAAATTTTAAAGCTAAAATCAGTATTTGGAAAGATACTGAAGTGATATATAATTTGAAAATAGCTTCATTAAACCCAAATTGTGTATTGACTAAATCAGAATAAGCCATTTCATAGATAGTTTCTGATAAAATTGGTAGCTACTTATGATAGAACTATTAAAACATGTTTAATGATTTTATGGCATTTTTGATTGAAAGTGAATAAAATGGTTTCTTTTTTTAATAAATTCCTGGTAATTTAGAATATATAAGCTTATGACAGTAACGGTAATGCATTTTAAATTAATATAGTTTACTGTAAACTATGCTCTTGCAATTCAAATTCAAGATTTGTGAGTCAGTGGCTCATTCATATCATTGTTTCCAACTTCAAGATACAAAATACTATCTTAAAGTTCTCAACTATATAATGTTTTAATTTTTTAATAGCTTAACATCAGATACAATAATATGCTATAGCAAAACATGGTTAGATTAGTTTATCATATGAATACTTAATTATTTTCTTATAAGGATTTTTGAAAAGATTGTCATTATGAATTTAAGATGAATATAAAATT